AAGGTTTTCGGTAGCCAAGTGCCTGTTCCTCTTCAGTCGGTGGTATCACCTTCTCCAGACAGTCTTTTAATTCAAAAGGTAGTCTTGCTATGTCTAAAATTCCTCTTTCCAGTACTCTTAACTCTTCTCCAGCTTCTTTCTGCAGGTCTTCTCTGTGGTCTCTCAAAAATCTTTCTTTGTCGTCCACTGATCTTATTTTTATCTTTCTTCCTTTGAAACTAAATGATAGGCCTTGGGGGAATTCCCACCTAAAGATGATTCTGTTACTTCTCAGCAGGGCAACCAAATCTCTATAATTGGACCTAAGGTCCAAAAGATATTTCGGAATGTCCTTAAATATCTCCACTTTTGACTGATGTATTTCCAAAGTCTTCTGGAAGTGCAGACTCAAGATTTTGTCTCTCTCCTCTTTTGTTCGGAGGGTGATCAAACAGTCTCGCACCCTGTTCTTCTTCCCTCCTCCTCCAAGCCTGAAAGCACTCACTATCTTAAAGTTTTCCTTCTCCAAATCTGGGTTCCAAAAGTCTACAAATTCCTGCGTAAGAAAGTCAGTCAGGTTGTCTTTCTCAAGTTCAGGTACGGCCCTGATCCTCAAATTCGTTTGCTTCTCCTTCAATTCAATCATAGACAGTATTGATCTGTGGTCTTCAAGTTGCTTATGTATCGGTGGTATCTTCTCTTCTACTGCAACTGCTATTTCCTTTGCTTCTTCAGCTGTTTTCCAAGTCAAAGTAGATTCCTGTAGCAATTTCTCAATAGTTTCTGTGTTAGTATTTACCTTCTGTCCCAAATTATTAATACTTGTGGTATTTTGATCAATTTTAACTGATGCTTCAGCTACTTGTTTACTTAATTTTTCCAGAGATTCATTAATTTAGCCTAGTGCCTGGGCTAAAACATCTTCAGATGCCATTCCTTTGGGTTTAGGTTGTACTAATGCAGCCCCTGTTGATGAGCCAGAAGGGCCAGATGTTGATGCTCTTCGCTGCAGCCCAACGTCTGTGCGAAATAATCTACCAGACCTCGTTTTTTCCTGAAGCAAATCTATTTTCTCTTTTCCATTTGCCATAACAGTCTAGATAAGGCCCAAGGTCAGTCCCACAACCAGAATTTGTTTTGAAGTGGAAAATTCCCCTGGCCCAGTTGTTATTGTAACAATCTCAAACTTCCTCTAGGGGGACACAGTAACAGGCAGCAGTTGTTACCTTAAAATAAATAACCTTTTTTCTTTTAATCCCCCAATTCACAAAATAGACGACAGTTTCAATTTCAGTTATTTTCCAGTTACTTTGAAACCAGGAGAAGCCAGCCAGAAATATTGTATCTCACTTGTATCACACTTGCAGAGTTAGCTGTCAAAAAGTACTTTCACCAACAGCGCATTTCACGGTACAGCATTCTTTTGTTCATTGGCAGCCCGTTCCCAGGTTTTAAGCGGTGGATTTTAGCTTCCCTTTCTCACTTTTTACAGGAAAATACAGTTCAGACCTTTCCCCCCTCCTCTCCTGCAATCAAGGGGGGAAATCACTTGTTTTGATGATAGAATTATAGTCCTTTTCAAGCGTCTTTCAAGGTTTTAGCTTACAAGTTCATTGCTTTACTCTATTTACAAAGAACGGAAGGCAGACTTCCTGTTTATGCCTCTCTGCTTCGGTAGCCAATTACTTCTTTTTTTTCTCCTTTATTTCCCAAATTAACCTACTCACGGATCGTTGTTTTGTAGCCAAATTGTCACAGGAAAAAGGTAGCGCTCTCTGGTAACGGCTGTGCGGCTTCGCTCCACGGAAGAAGCAGTTGACTCACAGCACCGCGCCGCTTCCCCGCTTCACTCCGGAACCCGTAATCGGGCTCCTTTGCAAATTGGGGGGGGGCGCAAAAGGTGCCCGCCGAGTCCCACGGTCACAGGCATCACAGGCATGTGATTTTTGAAGGGTCCCCGCTTCGCCGTAGCGGTACAGACCCGATTCCCGCAGAGCCAGTCCCTCCAAGTCAGAGGGAATCCGCCATTACCGATGGCGCCACCCTGGAAGTCCTTCCAGGAGTAAATTCTTAAAGACATCTTAATTTTTTAGGGTCCTTCAGCCCCTACAGCCAGAGAAGGGGAACTTTCCAAACCGAGCTCTTTTGCGTTTTTCTCCACAAATCTCTCCTTCTCTCCTACAGTTCTGATTTTCTGTTTCCTCCCTTGAAATTTGAAGGAAAGACCTCTGGGAATTCCCACCTGAAGAAGATATTTTTCTTCCTTAGGGCAGTTGCCAGATCTGAATAATAACTTCTCAAAGATAAAAAATGCTGTGGAACCTCTTTCAACAAGATCACCGCTTTCCCATCTATCTTTAAACTTTTTTTATAGTGATGTCCCAATATCGTGTCTCTTTGTTCCTTTGTTTTAAAAATCACCATACAGTCATGTGTGATTTTAGAACCCTTTTTAGGACCAAATCTATATGCTTTATCAATCCACAAATTCAATTCTTCTTTTGAGATCTCCCAGTAAGTTGAAAATTCCTCAATGAGCCAACCCTTCAAGTTATCCTGTTCCTTCTGGACCACTCCCCTCAGTCTCAGATGAGCCTCGTTCTCCTTTAATTCCAAAAACGCAATCAAATTTAACGCCTGCTGCTGGACAGTCTCTAAATCCCGAATTCTTACCGTTTCCAGTTGTGTAATTCTTTCCTCATGTGAGGTAATGTTGGACCTCACTGTGTTCAAGTCTTCTTTCAGTTCAGAAAAGTCACTCCTCAAGTCTTGAATGGTTTTTTGATTCCCTCTTCTGTTTTAATTTCCTGAAGAAGTTGCATTACTGATTCACTGAGCTTCAATTGAGCTTATTTTCTGAAAAATTAATCATGTCAGACTAACCTGATCTCGTTTTTTGACAGAATTACAAGCCTGGTAGATGAAGGGAACGCAGTGGATGTAGCCTACCTTGATTTCAGCAAGGCATTTGACAAGGTGCCCCATGATATTCTTGTAAAGAAGCTGGTAAAATGCGGTCTTGACTATGCTACCACTCAGTGGATTTGTAACTGGCTGACTGACCGAACCCAAAGGGTGCTCATCAATGGTTCCTCTTCATCCTGGAGAAGAGTGACTAGTGGGGTGCCACAGGGTTCTGTCTTGGGCCCAGTCTTATTCAACATCTTTATCAACGACTTCAGAGTGTCCAGAGGAGGGCAACCAAAATGGTCAAAGGCCTGGAAACGATGCCTTATGAGGAACGGCTAAGGGAGCTGGGCATGTTTAGCCTGGAGAAGAGGAGGTTAAGGGGTGATATGATAGCCATGTTCAAATATATAAAAGGATGTCACATAGAGCGAGGGAGAAAGGTTGTTTTCTGCTGCTCCAGAGAAGCGGACACGGAGCAATGGATCCAAACTACAAGAAAGAAGATTTCACCTAAACATTAGGAAGAACTTCCTGACAGTAAGAGCTGTTCGACAGTGGAATTTGCTGCCAAGGAGTGTGGTGGAGTCTCCTTCTTTGGAGGTCTTTAAGCAGAGGCTTGACAACCATATGTCAGGAGTGCTCTGATGGTGTTTCCTGCTTGGCAGGGGGTTGGACTCGATGGCCCTTGTGGTCTCTTCCAACTCTGATTCTATGATTCTTCAAATGTTGGTGTTCGAGATTCTCTTCTTGGTTTAATTTTTGTTCTTTCCAGTCTCTCTGACCTTTCTGTCTTGTCTCCTTTGTCACCCCCATCCATAGTTTTATTCCCCCCCCAAGGTCAGCTACAGTCAAAAGAGGGAGACAATAGGATAAACAGACTGTTTCCCAGCTGCAAAAATCCCCACTCCAGAGTAAGAGTCTTTCCTCACCACAGTCTTTCAATCTAGTAAATATAAGTACAAGACTTTATTTTCTTTCTTTTTTTTAAAAAATGATATTTATTAAAGTTTCACAAAAATACAGAAAACAAAGAAAAAAGTATAAATTACAGCAAAAAAGTAAAAAGTAAGAAAAAAACATACAAAATAAAACAGTTAAAAACACAATAATGTTCCATAACCTATCTTCCTTACTCTTATTTCCCCAGACCTCCTCATACCTCCCTTCTTTGTATTCCAATTCAGTTTGTTGGTTCAGCAAATCCTTACCATTAATCTTTTACCCAATTGTTAACCTTTTTTTTTCCCATGTCTCTTAAAGCATTACAGCTAAAAACCTCTTAGTTTCTATCCAACATCCTTCTAAAGTTCCTTAATTTTACAATATTTCTGTAAATAGTCCTTAAATTTTTTCCAGTCTTCTTTCACCAACTCTTCTCCCTGGTCTCGGATTCTGCCAGGTACAAGACTTTATTTTCTCCTTTAAACAAGTCCCAAAAGTTTATTTCAAGTCTTTAACTTAGTTGCAGAGTTCCAGGTATTTGTTGAGCTCTGGCAGCTGTGGTTACTGTGTATTTTTCCAAAGTGGAAAATGAAAGTTGAAAGCTTCCGTTCCCTTTGTTGCGTCACAATGGAGTCTAGCCTCCCCTCACCCGGGAGGTCTGCTTCCACAAAGAAGATACAACAGTTCAGGGAAAATCCCTAATTCTTCTGCAGGGAAATTTATATTTTGTCTTTCCCCCCCTTCCCCCTGCTAGAAAGGGGGATATAGGAAAGACTTGAAAGTTTCTAAAAGATGAGACTAAAGTTGAGGCTTTTGGTAACGTTAGCTGCTTTCGTTTCTACTTCAGTGAAAGGGATCGACCTCTGTTTTTAAATCCCTTTCCTTCCCAATTCAAAGTTCCAAATGAAATCATTTTACTCACGATTTCCAAGAGGGATAGTCCCAAAAAAAATTTCCCTTGGAGGAATTGGCCGCTCACGATCGCAGGACTCAGAGCTTTGCGCTTTGAAGGAAGCGAATTGTTTCCCTAGTGCCACCGTCTCCAACCCCCGTCACTCGGCCCTCTTTTTTAGAGCTTACGGGGAGCAGGGGAGTCATTCCCGGCACCTGCAGGAACTCCAGGTCCTCAGAACGTTTGATATGAGGGTTTTTTGGGGCGCCGCTGCGCTCTAGCGACTCTCATCTGTCTTCAAAGCGCTGGTGCCCTTTCCGCGAAAGAACTCCTGTCCGCCATAATTGGGCGAGCCAATCGGAAGTCTATAATGAAGGGTTTTTCTGACCTTTGAATGAATTCTTTGATGGGAATTGAGATTGGAGCTCTTCCTGAAGCTCTTTCCACATTCCACGCACTGATAGGGTTTCCCCCCTGTATGAATTCTTTGATGGGAAGTGAGATTGTGGCTATGACTGAAGCTCTTTCCACATTCCACACACTGATAGGGTTTCTCCCCAGTATGAATTCTTTGATGGGAAGTGAGAATGGTTCTCCTACTGAAGCTCTTTCCACATTCCACACACTGATAGGGTTTCTCACCTGTATGAATTCTTTCATGGGAAGTGAGATTGTGGCTGTGACTGAAGCTCTTTCCACATTCCACACAGTGATAGGGTTTCTCCCCTGCATGAATTCTTTGATGGGAAGTGAGATTGTGGCTGTGACTGAAGCTCTTTCCACATTCCACACACTGATAGGGTTTCTCCCCTGTATGAATTCTTTGATGGGAAGTGAGATTGTGGCTGGTACTGAAGCTCTTTCCACATTCCACACACTGATAGGATTTCTCCCCTGTATGAATTCTTTGATGGGAAGTTAGATTGCAGCTCTTACTGAAGCTCTTTCCACATTTCATACACTGATAGGGTTTCTCCCCTGTATGAACTCTTTGATGGGAAGTTAGATTGCAGCTCTTACTGAAGCTCTTTCCACATACCACACACTGATAGGGTTTCTCCCCTGTATGAATTCTTTGATGACAAGTGAGATCGGAGCTATTAGTGAAGCTCTTTCCACATTCCATACACTGATAGGGTTTCTCCCCTGTATGAATTCTTTGATGGGAAGTGAGGTCAGATCTTTTCCTGAAGCTCTTTCCACATTCAGCGCACTGACAGGGTTTCTTTCCAATGAGATTTCTTTGATGGGAAGTGGAATGGGAACTCTGACTGCAGCTTTCTCCACACTCCAAATTTTTATGTGGCTTCTCCTTTCTGGGGATTTTGTTGTGGTCACCTTTGTTCTCAATTTCCAATTCATCACAATCTGCAATGGAGACAAAAAGGGATTAGAGCCTCAGGAACGAATACAGAAGAACGGTATGTTGTTTGTCATTAACCAACATATTTATTATTAGATTCTGATGAGTTGTTGAATGTTGCTTTGTTTGATATACAGTGGTGCCTCGCAAGACGAAATTAATTTGTTCTGTGAGTTTTTTCGTCTTGCGAATTTTTCGTCTTGCGAAGCACGGTTTCCCATAGGAATGCATTGAAAATCAATTAATGCGTTCCTATGGTCAAAAAAAGTCCAAACAAAGCCAAATTTGGTACAAAAAGAGTTTATTAAGTGCTCTTTAAAGTCACACATACTGTAAAGAGCATTTCAAAAATTGAAGGAATAATTTAAGTTTCTAAACATGACAGAAAAGCATTTAAAAATCACCAAAGTGTACTGTACATACATTTTCTAAGACTCTGGGGGACAACTCGAAGAAGGTTCCTCTTCCACTCTTTGCTTCTTGCTGAAGAACCTGTCCATGGTCTGCTGCTTCATCCGACTTTTCAGCACCTCCCTGAAAGACGACATGACCCTCGTATCAAAAGTGTTCGCAAGGTCATGTGTCAGGTCCTTGTCAGGGTGGTGCAGCTGTGCAAAAGCCTGCACATCTTTCGACTTCTGGCAAATGTCCCTCAGTTCTTTGGAGGACAGCCGTTCCTCAGTTGCTTCCTCCTCTTCCAGCGAGGCCTGCTCCTGCGCAGCCTCTGCCTGCAGTTCGACCAGCTCCTGGGTGGTCAGCTCGTGGTCGTGCTCCTCCACCAACTCGCTGACGTCCTCCTCTGTGACCTCCAGGCCTATGGTCCTCCCCAAGGAAACAATGTCCTGCACCACTGTTGACTCTGGTGCATCAGAGTCACTTGGTGCCACACAGTCCGGCCACAGGCTGCCCCAAGCGCAATTCAAATTTCTCTGGCTGATCCCGTCCCATGCCGTGGTGATGATCTTCAAGCAGGTGACGATGTCGAAGTGGTCCTTCCAGAATTCCCACAGGGTGATGTTGGTGCAATCAGTCACCTCGAAGCATCGCCTGAAAAGCTCCTTGGTGTAGAGTTTTTTGAAATTGGCGATGAGCTGCTGATCCATCGGCTGGAGCAGTGGCGTGGTGTTAGGCGGCAGGAACATGATGTTGATGAAGCTGAACTCCTCCAACAAGTCCTCCTCAAGGCCTTTAGGATGAGCAGGAGCATTGTCCATCAGAAGCAAAGCCTTCAGCGGCAGGTTGTTGTCCAGCAGGTACTGTTTGACAGCAGGGCCAAAAGCAAGATTGACCCAGTCCACAAACAGCACACATGTGACCCAAGCCTTACTGTTGGATCGCCACATGACACTCAGCTGCTCCTTGTCGACCTTGTGTTTCTTGAAGGCCCGTGGGTTCTCCAAGTGGTACACCAGCAGGGGCTTGATCTTCAGGTCGCCGCTTGCATTGGCACAGAAGAGCAGGGTCAGACGGTCCTTCATGGGCTTGTGGCCAGGCAACTTGGCCTCCTCCTGAGTGATGAAAGTCCTTCTGGGCATCCTCTTCCAAAACAGCCTGGTCTCGTCGCAGTTGAAGACCTGCTGTGGAACGTAGCCCTCCGTCATCACAACCTCCAGGAACTCCGCTGCAAAGTCTTCAGCTGCAGGAACATCAGAACTGGCAGCCTCTCCATGCCTGACCACGCTGTGGATTCCAGATCTCGTCTTGAACCGGTCAAACCAGCCTCTGCTTGCCTTGAAGACTTCTGGCTCACCTGAGGTTCCTGGCTGTTCCCGGATGAGGTCTGCGTGCAAGGCCTTGGCCTTCTCACAAATGACGGCCTCAGTCACTGTGTCCCCTGCATGCTGCTTCTCTTCTAACCAGATGAGCAGCAACTTCTCCACCTCCTCCAGAACAGCTGGGCGGTTCTTCACGATCCTGCTGATTCCCTTGGCTACATCAGTCGCAAGGATCTTCTCCCTCATCTTCAGGATGGTCCCGATAGTCGATGGATTCCTCCCATACTCCCTGGCAAGGTCTGTCACACGCATTCCACCGTCGTGCTTCCGGATGATCTCCTTCTTCATTTCCAGTGTAACCTTCTCCTTCTTCCTCTCGCCGGCCTCCGCAGCAGCAGCAGTCTTCTTGGGCCCCATGGCAGCACAGCTCCTACCTTCGCAAAACCCCCCCCCAAAAAAAATCAGTGCTTCACATCCAAAAAATTCAAAAGCACCAAACCTCCCAGAAAACACACAAGCTTCCAGATTCTTGCAAACCCCTTCTCAACAATTCCCTGACCCCCCCAGCCACCCACCACACAGAAATCCAAACCCAGAAATCTTTTTTTTTAACAACAGCAGAGTGCCCCAATGGTCACAAAAAAATCATAAAAATGCAGAAAAAAAACAAGCTTCCAGATTCTTGCAAACCCCTCCCCAACACTAAGTCCTTGAATTCCAAACACCCCAACCCAAAATCCAAAAACCCCCAAAAAAGTTTTAAAAGTTTAACTTACCAAATGGCTGCAAAAGAAGTTTTGGAAAAGCTTCAAAAATCACCAAAGTCTTCAAAAACCTCAAAAAAGGCTACCACATCGCGTGCTATGAGTTGCTCCTCAAAGTCAAGTCGCAACTGCACCTCTTCAAACAATGCACCCTGGGTATCAACGGTTTTAAGAAAAAGGAAACAAACTTGCAAGACGTTCCCGTCTTGCGAAGCAAGCCCATAGGGAAATTCATCTTGCGAAGCAACTCAAAAAACAAAAAACTCTTTCGTCTTGCGAGTTTTTTGTCTTGCGAGGTACCACTGTACAGTAGTGGCCAAAATTGTGGAAGCCTTTTTGGAAGTAGTGTATTCCAGAGCTTTAATGGCTTATAACACCACTTGTTTTGGAGTAATATCATAAAATCATATATCAGTGGAAAAATAATTTGAGCAAGAACATAATGCAACAAAGTTCAATTAGCTGTATTCTATCAAAAATTATAGCCAAATAACCATAAATAGGAAGCAGAAGCACTACTTGCTTAGGTTGACTTTTGTTAGTGTCTTATGTGATTGCTATCAAGTTGGCTGGTTTTTTCGTGTTCTTTCATTTAGTGAGTTTGCAGAACATAATAAAATTTTAAAAATGGCACAAAGAGTTGACTGGTTACCCAGAAAGAGATGTAAACTAATACTTTTAAGTGAACAAGGCTACAGTTATGAAGAAATTAGAAGAAATATTTTGGAAAACTTAACCAAAGCTGGCCTTTCTATATTTTTGAAGAGGTATAAGAAACTCATTTACTGGGGGGTCGCTAGGGGGCGCATCGGAAGATGGCCGACAATACCATCTCTCCGGCTCACATGAGGTAATTAAGAGGCTGTTATGGGAGTATGCAGCCTCCCTCGTTACCCCAAGGGAATGGGGAATGCTGCCTTGCCTGCTGTGCCCATAATTCGAAAGGGGGTGAGGGCACTAGGCACAAAAGCCCTCGTGTGGGTCGGCTCTCCTGGACGCTGTCTCTGATCTGCGCAGCTAGTTGCGGGAGCTCAAAATAAACAATCAGAAGCAAACGCACATACTTCAAGCGATGATCGGGAATAAGGACTGCTAACTAAAGGGATCTCTGGGAAGAGGAGCGACGGGCAGGAATAAATCAAGAAGAAGATTCATCAAAGGATTGGTATGTCGGAGCAAGACTGAAAAGGAGGGGGGAGAAAAACTTTTCTTTTTTTGTCTTATGTGAGTACCCAATAATCCCCCCCCAAAAAGAATCGTTGCAATTACTGATCACAAGCAGGAGAAATAATAACTGTGTGGAAATTAGTTACTATGCAAGGACGTGGCTTATGGGAGCATCGGGAAACGAAAGTAAGTCCTTTGTGACGCAGTTATAAAAAGAGATTTATCATGGCAGGCTCGCCCGCAGGAATCCAGGGGGAGGAGGACTATGGCTGTTACTATGTTGGAGTGTGGGTTCGGCCTAGCAGGGCCGCCTGAGAAAATTTATGAGGGAGCGGCGGGCCTGGGGAGATCTGGACAGACTGTCGGAATGTTTTATACGGAGGTGTTGAAATGGCGTCTGTCAACTTTTATGGCTCTTGGATGAGTGTAAAATCCACACAGGAAATAACGATGTTTGTCTTCAACCCGCTTGCGGAGATTATCAGAGATCACAAAGAAAGGAGATAACAACAAGAAGATGAGGAAAACAACAAAGAGAAGATTGAACAGAACTGTGAATATTATTTTGACAGAACTGTGTAATTAAAGCAGCAGCAAGAGAGATGATCGGATCCCTTTTGGAGCTTGAAGCATGGGTAGCCCCAACAAAAATTTAAAAAAATTTGGCTATGTAATTTGGAATTATTGTTTTTTGGAATTAATGTGATGTGATTGGCCTGTTAACAAAAATTATTTTTAAAAAAGAAGAAACTCACTTCACTCCAAAATCAGACTGGTAAAGGCAGGAAAAGGTGCACAACAGCAAGTGATGATCCAAGAATGGAGAGACTGTGCCCACGTGACAGAAGAAAATCATCTGGGTGTATACAGGATGACATGGCGCAATGTAATGTGAAGTTGATTGCAAGGACTGGTCTAAATGCTAGAATTCTAAGGAAAAAGCCATTGTTCTCTGTCAAGCAAAGGTTGAAAAGATTAAACCCATGTTAACTGGACAGCGGAACAATGGGATAGTGTTATGTGGAGCGATGAGACCGAAATCTCCTTGCTTGGTAGTGATGGCATGAAATATGGGAGTAGAAGAATCAAAGATTTACATCCTACATGCATTACACCGACCGTGAAACACCCAGTTAGTGTTATGAAATTGTGTCATTAATGGGTGTCACGGCTAAAATTTGGCCGCTGTTTCTTTAATGCTAAAAAAACTAAGTCAGCATGAGTCAGCAGCCTACAATGACTCATGCAACCTTTCTCCTAATTGTACCTGTATATATAGAGTGGTCAATGTTAGTGTTGGATATGGGTTGGTTGGTGAAATCTGGTAGTGTTGATGTGTGTACAGTTGGTCGGCTGTTTTGCAAATAAAGACTTTTAAGAATAAAAGCAGAAAATACTCTGCAAGGGCACTCTTCTTGTGGACTCCTTTATGCCGACAAAGATCTGAGGACCAGGCTGAGGAGACAAAGGAAGTCAGGTCCTTTGCATTTTCATACACTGACAATGGAAATGTAAACTTCCCAAAATACATAAATGAAATACTTGAGCCCAAACTGAAGCGTTCTCCATGTGATCTTTCCCCATATACTGAAGCATTTACATATGTTTGCATAAATATTTGTTTATTTAATTATTTTATATTTCAACAGAATTCTGCTCCATGTCATGTTGCTGCTGTGTGCAAAAGGTCGTTTGAAGATAATAATATTCCACTGCTGGAATGGCCTGGGAATAGCCCAGACCTTAACCCAAGTGAAAGTCTATGGAGCCGCCTAAAGAAACTTCTTAGTCAAAAGCAACCCAGCAATAAAGCCTAATTAATAGAGGCAATAATTCAGTCTTGGTGTCACATTATTACAGCTGCAGAACTAAAAAACTAAAAAAAAAGGCAGAACTAGAGGAAAATGGTTCACAGAAAAAACTGCAATTTGCTGTTTCTTGTGGGGGCGTTAGGTTCCCAGGTGGTGTAGGGGGCGCTTTTGAGCTCTGTGAAAATATATGAGGTTGGTCACATAGAGGTATTTTTTGAATTTCCTGGCAGATAGGACGATCCCACAGGGAGCCTTACCAAGAGAGGCCACGATCCCACGATTCTCCTCCATGACGTCCTTATGCAGAGTTCTCTGGTCAGGATCCAGCAACGCCCACTCCTCATCCGTGAAACGAACAGCGACATCTTCAAAGCAGACTGGACCCTAAAAGAAATAGGGAAATGTCCTCCTCTGAGACAGCAGAAATATGATCTGCTACACAATGCTCTGTGGTTTCCTTCCTGTTAATTGCTGTGTTATTTCAATAGTATTGCTTTGCTGTACATGTTAATTATGGATGCTTATTTTAAAACTTTAATTGAATTATTTTTTTCTGCTTTTAATTACAGGTATTCGTCTTTGTGCAAATAGGTGGTACTCCAGCTTATGTTTACGTTATTCTGCCTACGCAAGCATTCCAGTTTCCCCGATGGAAAGATCCACTTTCTCCTCTCCTCGTGAGTTGTTCTGGGGAGGATCCCTCCCAATGCCCTAGAGCCAAATTCAAGGGGTTCATGGGGGCATGGAGAGGGGGAGGAGTGGGAGGCAGGCCCCATTTTGCAGACGATGGGGCTGGTTAGGTGAATGCTGGCCACTATTTGTTTTCATCTGTTCACCGCTTAGAAACCAATTTTAGCATTCAATGATCAATTTAGAAATAAAATAAGCCTAGTTTCGATGTCCATCTGTCTTGGATGATCTTTCAATGCAGGGGGTTGGACTTGATGACCCTTTGGGTCCCTTTCAACTCTAGGATTCCATGAAAACTGCAACTACAGATGAATCCTACTGGCGACATTCAGAAGCCTCGTGTCACAGAGTTATCTGGGCAGGAAATCCCAGAGTTCACAGCTGGAGTTAACTCTTTATCAGCAAGAGCACGATGTTCACAGACTTGGCTGAGTTTCGGGCCTCTTGAGAACAGCAGCTCATTCCCTGAGCCTCTTCCTGCACAAAAGCAGTTGCAAAGAGTGAATGCTCCCGGCTCCCCACAGCTTTCTAAGTCCCCTTCTCTCTCGAGCTTCTTGCAAGCAATTGAACAGTGCGCCAGTGTGCAGCCTGCCTTTGCTCCTCCATTGTCAGCCATCTGCTGGCTCTGAGAGACAAGCAGGGAGGGTGGCTTCTGGCAGAAGGAGAGGGAGCCCCCAGTAGCTCCTCCTTCTCCTGACTCACCTCAGCCTCTCGACCTTCCTCTCCCACTCGCTTCCTTCCTCTTCTGCCTCTGATTCTGCACAGCATTCTGCCACAGAGACTCCCAGCTCACTAAGCCCTGTTACTTCTTCTGCTTCTGACACCTCCTCTTCCCAGGCTTCTCCCTCTGATCACTCATCCTCCCTCCACCTCCACTTCTTGGGCTCTGAGCCATCTTCCCTTCCTGGTTCCCCGGCTGCTTCCTCCCACCATTCCTCTGTGCCCAACCAGTCCATGACATTGCTCCATCCCTCGGCCTCTGTCCCCACAAGGCAACATCTCCTGACCTGATCTGGTTCCACAGCCACTGCTTCCCTTCTGCCCCCATGAAAAGGCGGATAAAGAGGTCTTGCTGCCATCATTCTGTCACCTGCAAGAGAAAAAGCATAAGCAAGACGCCAGGAGTGCCTGCATCTCTCACAGGGGAAACAGGGCATCTCTAACTACAAATGGGCCTTTGAGAAAGCCTACCTGCTGAAAGCATTTGGATGTTTGTGCCCATTTCATATGTTAGTTGTCCCTTCCTCTGGACCCTTGTTCCCAACTGTCTCCCCCCAAAACAAGGTGAAAAGAACCCTCAGATGAGTTGGAAAACCAACAGAATGAGACCAAATGGAGTAAAACCACCTTCCTCCTTACCCAATGGCCTCTCTCTGGTGTCCAACGGAGGCCTCTCTGCCTCACAGGAATCCAGGTCCATTTCTGCAAAGATATCCTTTCCCTGAAAAAGAAACAAGGATTCAAAACAGAGAATGGGGAGAAATACTAGAAAGAGAATGACAAAGACTTCAAGGGTGTGAGATCTCATTCCATGGATGCTTTCCCAGAAAAAGGATGTGCCATCAATACAGCTATATGAGATGTTCTCCATCCTGTTTGGAGCCCCTTTGGAGTATCCAGAGGAAAGTCTCTCTCACCTGCTTTCTCTCCTCTGCCTGACTCAGGAGGAAACCTTCGGCCAGGGCCACCGCCTGCGAACTGGTCTCCGCTCCACAGTCCCTCACCCAGCTCTCCATCTCCGGGGGAAGGACAGCCAGGAACTGCTCCAAGATCACCAGGTCCAGCATCTCAGCTTTCGTGTGCCTTTCTGGCTTCAGCCACTGGTGGCAAAGGTGGTAGAGTCGGCTGCAAACCTCTCGGGGTCCTTTGGCCTCCTGGCAGCAGAACTGCCTCCACTGCTGGATCTGCACCTCTGAGCCGAGGGTGTCCTCCTCAACCAGGATCTTCTGCACAGAGTTTTCCCAGAATCCCCCACTGCTCCCAGTTTGGATGGCATGGTCCCTTCCTGCTCCAGGACTAGCTGAGTCTTGCTCATCCATCTGTGCTGTCAGGAAGCCTCTTTGAGATCAGAAGGAAATCTTTGGTCTTCTGCCAAGTTCTGTCTGTGTGAATGAGAAGCTCTAGCAAATCCTACAAAGCAAATACATTGTTCTGTTACAAAAGTTGTCTCATATCAGGAGAAGAAATAGGTTCCCTGAGCAAGCATGGATGAGTCTTCCTGGGAACTAGGGCTGGACTGCACCGCATTCCAGTCCATGAGCTATCTTTTTTTGGGGGAAAGAAGAGTAGGAGGAGAAGAAATATGTCTCTAGCCTTCTAGCAATGCAAAATGTGGAGGCAACAGAATTTGTAGGTCGGTAGAAGAAAAAGGTTCCCTTAGCAAGCAAGAGGGAAGAATAACAGGGAGCAGGAGGAGGAGGAGGAGGAGGAAGCAGCCTGTAGCTCTCGTAGAAGAAAGATTGCAATGCAAAATGTGGAGGCAACTGAAGGGATTTCTGGGAGATGAATTAGCCTCGTTTCTCCTGCTTTCCAGTCAATGCATGAAGTCAGAACTGACTGACAAGGGAGTCATTTGTATCTTGTGGAAAATGGATACTTGGCTCCAGTGGGGGTCCTCACCCGGGGGTCCTCAGGACTTGCTCTCCCCCCACCCCCATTCCCCTGCTTCTGTCTCCTTTTCTTGCACTTGGACTCTCTGCCACTCTCAATACAGACTCCTGGGGTGGGGTCCCTTTTTCTTTGCTCTGAGGGCCAGGTATGTATCTGGACAACCCCCTGAGGGCCAAGTGGGCGGGGCCAAAGACATCTCTCTTGAAATTTAGGCTGGCAATTTATTATGATTATTCTATTAGATAGCTTAACACACATACAGCCATTGACGCCAAGGTCCCTGGAGGTTCAGTGAGTAGCAGCGCCCATTTCCGGCTGCTTTTCCAGCAACAACCCCTTTGGGACAGAGAGGAGCTGGTCCTGGGATGCCCTGCTCTGGGTGCGAGGGGATTGCTGCAGTGGCCTCCGTGGGGAGCTCCCCTGGGAGACACTGGGAAACTGGTCCCCAATGCAGCAGCCAGACTCTGGGCTGGGATCCCTCTCTTTATTCCTGGCCTTTCTCTCCCACCCTTTTTGGGGGGGGGAGGGGGCTACTCCACCTCCTCGTTCAGCTTTGGAAAACCATTTGCACATGTTTCCTCTGTTGTGAAATGACGCTGAGCGACGTCACACAGAGTTAAAGTCCCAGGGACTCCTTTGTTTAAAGAAGGGAGATCTTTTCTGAAAGGGGGGGGCGGAGGGTCAAATGAGTTTGGGATCCTCTGATCTGCAGGAAGGAGAGCGTGGCAGACCTGGCCCCTCCCTGGCAGGACCCTCTCCTCCCTGACTTGGGGTCCCCCCCTGCAGGAGCAGATAAGCCCCCCACCGGCCCCCTCCCCTGCTGCAGCCCTGGGACCCCCACCAGATCCCAGAGAGACAGGAGACTCACCAGATCCCAGGAGGGGACAGCGAAGCAGCCCTTGCAGGAGAGACACCGAAGCGGGAAAGGACTGGGAGGGGGGGGCTTGGCTCTAGAGGATCTGGCCCCCCCTTGCTTCCTGTCCTCTCTAGGAAGGCAGCTCACTTCCCTTTAACCGTTTCAAAGCCGAGTGTCGTCGTCCCCCCCCCCCCCGGCTCAGCCATCTCTCGCTTGGCAGAACCTCAGATTTCTATCATTTTTTATGCATTTTGGGGGCCGGCTGCCCCACCCCGGCTACGCCAATGCCCAGATACCCTTTTGGGGTGAGGCTCTTGGTTGGACTCTGAGCATCTCCCTCCCTTCATCAAGAGATCTCAGAGACCTTTAAAACACAGAACACATGAGACGCAGACCGATGATGCCTCACCTCAAATCCTTTCAAATCTCCAAGTCTGCTGCTGCTGCTGCTGCCCTGAGTGCTGGAAGGAAGACCTGCTCCCTGCAAGGCCTTTTCCCACCTGGCCTGGGGGGCGAGGACCAGACTCCCCCTGCTCAACAGAAGAGACTCCTGGGAGGCCGGAGGGACATTGCCCTGCTGTGCGTCCTGGGGAGCCCAGACTCACGGGAAGAAACTCTGGGGCTGGGGCAAATCTTTTAAAATAGTTTGTAATCTGTGGCGCTTCCAATGTTGGGTCTTGGATTTTTCCTCTGTTGGGGGTGGGATAAACGTTTAGTTCGGGCTGGGGATTAGTTTAATTTCAGTATAAATGTAAGTTGTTGTGTGTTGTTCTTGTTTTTAAAATTAGTTTCTACTGACTTACTGTATAGTTATTGTATAGTTTGTATTTGGTTCTTAAGAAGAGGGGGACAGGACTGCTGGGGAGTGGGCCCCATCCTACAGAATGGCTGGGGCAAGTTCTACAGGTGACAACCAATCTCAGTGATCACAGAAAGGAGGAGGAGCTATGCTAATGTCATTACCGAGGAGGCAGGTTTAGTCCTTGTTTGAGGACTATCCCTGCCTCCGGGTCTGGTGGATACTGGAAGGATACTGGAATCAGCAAGGGAGACCCACATCTTAAAGTGTTGCTGTGAAATGCCAGGTCAATGACTCACAAGACGGCTGTCATCCATGACTTAATTGTGGATGGAGGACTTGACCTGGCATGTGTAAGAGAGGCTTGGTTGGATGAAGCAGATGGGCCTGTTCTTGCCACTGTTTGTCCACCAGGTTTCTCTTATGCACAGCAAACCAGGTCATGTGGGTGGGGAGGGAGGGTTGCAGTGATTTTTAGGAAGTCATTAGCTTGTACCAGGTGTCCTATTAGGAAGAATCATAGAATCATAGAGTTGGAAGAGACCACAAGGGCCATCGAGTCCAACCCCCCTGCCAAGCAGGAAACACCATCAGAGCATGGAAGAACATGGAAGACCCAGTTTTCTGAGTAAATGTTCTGGAAGTTGGGTAATAGGGGCAGTACAGGATTTCTTTTGGGGTTCCAACCTCCCCGCTACACCAAGGATTCCCTGCTGCTTCAGGTTGTGGTGGATGTTCTCCTGGAGACACCTAGATTAGTTGTCCTAGGATATTTTAACATCCATGCTGACATGACCTTACAAGGGGCCACTTAGGACTTCATGGAAAGCATGGCCTCCATGGGGCTGTCCCTGAATAAGTTTGGCCCAACTCATAGTCGCGGACATGCCTTAGACCTGGGGTTCACCTCTATGGATGTGGGTGATCTGATACTAAGTGAAACTGAAACAAAAGAAGCGCATTGGTCAGATCCTTGCAGGAAGGTGGGACCAATTCGGATGGCCCACCCCCGCCACTTAATGGATCCAAATGATTTTCAGAGAGTGGTTGGGGATGTTTTAGCCCATGTTGATGGCCTTTCAGCTGATTCCCTGGTGTCCCGCTGGAATGTAGAGTTAATTAAGGGTATTGACTGTCTGGCTTCGAAGCGCCCTCTCCGATTGCATGGAGCCCGGACAGCCCCATGGTTTTCCCCAGGGCTGAGGGAAATGAAGCAATCGCTGAGACGGTTAGAGCGCCGGTGGCGGAAAACTCATTCTGGATTGGGCCGGACACGGGTTAGAGCTCAACGTCAAGCCTACCAAGTGGCTCTATTGCATCTGCAGAAAACAGCAGCAGGCGACTCTTTCAGGTGGTTCACAATCTAACGGAACCACCTTTGCTATCAGGGCCTGGTAAAGACCCTAAGATCTCCTGAAATGTTTTTGCTAAGTTTTTTTTGCAGATAAAGTCGCTCATATTCGAAAAAAGTTAGACTTAACCCCTGAGAGCATGGCCTGGGGGGGGGGTGCTAGAGTCCTGTCTAGTCAACTTGTGTGGGATCTATTCCAATCTGTTACCTCCTAGGATGTGGAGAAGCTGCTTGGACGACTGAAACCGACCATCTCTCTCCTTGATCCTTGCCCATCCTGGCTAATAAAAGCGAGCCGGGAAGGGCTGGGCGATGGGCTCTGCGGGGTGGTGAATGCTTCCCTCTGTGAGGGAGCCTTCCCAGGCCCGCTGAA